ATCACTTGGGACTTCCTCGTCGCTGATGTTCCATTCCCTATTCTTGGAATGGATTTCCTCTGGCACTTTGGTCTATCCGTTGACACACGCCGTCGTCTTTTGACTGACCTGGAACGCAATTTCACCGTCCATGGTGAAGCAACTACCCTAGGCTCCATTAGTCCTATTTTACGTAAGCTTCCCCCTGGTCCTTATGGGGAGTTGCTGTCCGCCTATCCCACTAATACCCAATCTTCCGACATTCTTCCATATATTACAACGCCGGTCATGCACTCCATTCGTACGTCAGGGCCACCAGTCTTCTCACGTGCTCGTCGTCTCGCGCCGGATAAACTCCGTGTCGCCAAGGCAGAATTTGACCGGCTCCTTAAAGCCGGAACCATTCGGCCATCCGACAGCAGCTGGGCATCGCCGCTCCACATGGTCTGTCTTGAAGTCTTGAAGTCTTGAGGTGATTCACGGGTTCAAGGCTGTTGCCCAAATGTCCCGGGTCCTTGAAAGGTATCTGTGTTTTCTTTTGGTTTGAATTACCTCTAGAACAGAGAGTCCCTAAATAGGACCTTACAGATTGGCGTCCGTGCGGTGATTACCGCGCTCTTAACAGGGTTACCACCCCTGACCGCTACCCAATCCCGCACATTCCTGAGTTCACTGCCTGCCTACACGGCAAAACTATCTTCTCTAAACTTGATCTGGTGCGTGCTTGCCACCAGATACCCGTTGAACCTGAGGCCATCCCAAAGACCGCGGTGATGACGCCGTTTGGTCTCTTCGAATTTCTTCGCATGCCCTTTGGCTTGCGAAATGCTTCTCAAACTTTCCAACGCTACATTGACAACGTTTTCCGAGGTCTAGACTTTGTGTTCGCCTACCTCGATGACATTCTGGTTGTCAGTACTAATGAAGCTGAACACCCTAATCACTTATGTCTTGTTTTCGATAGAATCCGTCTTCACGGCATTACTGTCAATCCAGACAAGTGCGAGTTCGGCCGCCTCTCCCTTACGTTTCTGGGACACCCCATAAACCAAAACGTTATGCGTCCTCTAGAGTCCAAGGTCGAGGACATACGTCGTTTCGCCGTCCCCAATACGGCTCAAGACCTGCGACGTTTTCTG